GCCACCTTCCCCCACACCCTTCTATGGGCATTTTTAGAGAGTGCTTTTGCTTCTGGTAACATTTGTTTGCAGTTTCTGCTATAGCTGGCTCCTGCTGTGCTCAGTGCCAGCAGTTTCCACTGGGACACAGCTGAGTGCATCCAGAGACACGTGCCTGTGAACAGCTTTCCCTGGACACTGGAGGGCAGATTTTTTTTTTTTTTTTTTTTAATTCAGAGGGATATTTACAGCGAGTTTTGTCAGTGCAGCAAGCACCCCAGTCAGTGATTTCTCTGCTATCTAGAGAGCCAAGACTGCACTCTCCTCTCTCCAACAAGGTCTGTAACTCAGCTCCGCGGGGCCACTCCTGTTGGATGCTCAATCTCAGCCTCAGGGAAAGTGGCTGAGCCTTAATCTGCTCTTTCTTTACAATTCTCTTTACTCTTTACCAGCCCATCCTTTGCTACCTCACCGCCATCCACTCAATGCTAACTCACAGCGACCCTCTACATAGACAGGGTAAAACTGGTTTTGTGAGCTTCCAAGACTGTATGTAACTCTTTACAGGAGTAGTATGTGAATGGATATGTTGGAATGTGTAAGATATGTCAATAAACTTTTATTGATAATAATGATAATTTTATAGTCAATATTCATTAATCAAATTATGGCATGATTAATCACTTCTGGTTGGACTTACATTAGCATAAGATGTGAACAAAGTTAAAAATATTAGAAAAGAACAACTCTAAAAAAAGGGAGATGGGGAAAAAAGGGAAGGGGAGAAGGAAATACAGCAGGAAAGGAGCAAATTAACAAGGAATTAAGGAAAAGGGAGAGGAAGTAATATTACAGGTGCTAATAAGAATAAAAGCAGACACTAGTACATTATAATATTGAAAAACAGTCCACGACTTTGAGGAGCTTTTGAAAAACAATACCAAAGTAAATAAATGCCCTTGTACAGCAAATGTAATGAAATAAATAAGTGTATAGAGGCAGGCTGTTAAAAATGGGACCGAAAAGATAACTAACCTTAGAAACAGACTTCACAATCACTCCCGCTTTAATCTCAGGCCTCTTCAGTGCGTGATCTCTGTCCCCTTCTTGTTCCCATGACACCTCAGCCCCAAATAGCGCTGGCTCTTTAGATGGGAATGATCCTCTCAGCTGAATCTTTCTTTTCGTAATTTCTAAAAGGGTCTGTACACTGAAACAACAAACTCGCCGACCCACTGGCAGAACCATGAGGAAATTCTCTGACAGCAGTAGCCTGAGAGATTCATCCAGGTTGCAGCCCAGAGATGTGTTTGCTTATTTTCATTGCTATGTAAAAGTCCATAGTGAGACCATGCCTCATTTTAAATCCATTCTTCTCTTCGTAGCCATTGTATAGATTCCAACTTGGGCCTATTTCTGCTGCGATAATGAGTTTCTACTAGATAGCTACAAGTGGAATTGCTGTCTATTCAGCACTAGAAAGAAGAGTTGTCTAAAGTGGATGAACTAATTTAAACTCTCACCGATAATATATGAGAGTTGTGATTTCTCAGGAAGTCACCACTATTTAGTATTGCAAGATTTTTAAATGTTTGCTAGTCTGTTAACTATGTGATTTTCATTTTTATTTGTCATGACTGAGATGGAAGACTTTTCCTAGTTTTTTTTTTAATCTATAAGATTGACTCACATGTGAATTATCTGTCTTTCTGAGTGTTTTGCCAGTTTTCCTAATGGATAGGAATGCATTCTTAATATATTTTGCAGACTAGGAGCCGGAGCGGAGTGGGGTTTACTAGTTGGGCCACTAACTACAAGGTCACAGTTCAAAACCACCAGCTGCTCTGAGGGGGAAAGGATGGGATGGCTTCTGACTCCTGTAAAGTTACATTCTTGGAAATTCACAGGGGCAGCTGGACGCGTGGAAGTGTCTTATAAGGTGGCTGTGACTCGACAGCCACTCGCTGGCAGTGAGTTTGCTTTGTGTTTGTTTCTTGGAGGCCTTTGCCAGTTGTAAGTGTTACAAGAATTTTCTTATTCTGTTGCATGTCCCTTCATTACACCGGGTATGTCAATTCTGACCCATAGCAATCCTATAGGGCAGGGTATGGATTTCTGAAACTGTAACTTTTATTGGCTCATTAAAATACCGGCACTGAAAAAAATTTTACTCAGAGTACACGTTTAAAAACATACACAAAACTATTGATTTGCCATTGATTTTAGTGGCAAATTCTCCAGAAACCATGCTGAAATGTCAATTGTTTTTATCAATATGTAACTGATAAATACATATATTTATGATGAAACGTATTGCTTTGGAAGGAATTATTCATTAATTTAAAAAGATTAGAACAAGTGATGGTTTGGAGGAAAGAACTTGGAGAAGGCTTATATATACTATATCATATTTTTCTGCGATGATTTATTTTTTAGAATAAAGATCTTTATTCATTCCACAAATATTTCTTTTTATTTTTGACTTAAAATTTTTTAATAAATCCTTTTATTGGGGGTTCTTACAGCTCTTATAACAATCCATTCCACAAATATTTCTTGAGCACATACTATATACCCCAAACCATTTCAGGTCCCAGGAGCCCATTAGCCAACCAAAGAACAAGAGACTCTTGGCCTAGTGGCATTTGGAGACTCAATAATGCTTTCACTTAATAGTTTAAAAGAAGAGAAATAGCGTTTTTCAAAACGTGAGAAATTAATAAAGATGTTTATTTCACTTCTATCAAATTTAAAGTTTGGGCTTTAAAATATCTGCTGGCACCCCAGTGTCATCAAGTGATTGCCATGACAGAGTTGAACTGCTCCTTATGGTTTCTGAAACTGTATCTCTTCATGGAAGTAGAAAGCATCACCTTTCTGATGCTGAGAGACTGGTGAGTTCCAACCACTGCACCGCCAGCCTTTCAGTTATCAACTTAATACCTAACCAATTGTCCCACCAGAAAACCAAACTCTCGGCCACTGAGTCAATTCTGATCCATAGCAACCCTATAGGACAGGGTATGGATTTCTGAAACTGTAACTTTTATTTCCACCCAACAGATAACCACTATCCCATAGGGGCTCATTAAAATACCAGCACTGAAAAAAATTTTACTCGGAGTACACGTTTAAAAATATACACAAAACTTGATTTGCCATTGATTTCAGAGGCAAATTCTCCAGAAACCATGCTGAAATGTCAAATTCCATGCCTTTATGCCAAGCTTTATAAAAGTGTATATTTAAAAACACGCTTAAAAAACAAACAAACTCATAGCAACCCAGCAGGGTAGGGTAGAACTGCTCCTGTGATTTTCTGATGTTGTAAATTTTTATGGGGCTAGAAGGCGTCACCTTTCTCCTGAGAAGCAGCTGATGGTTCGCATCCCAATACAGAACCCACGCTTCCCCAAGCCTCCTCGTGTGGTGCAAGTTTGCTCTGTACTACAAAAATCTCTCCAAAGTAAGGTTGCCAGATTTCACAAATAAAATTATAGGCTACTCAGCTAAATTTGAATTTTAAAGAAACAGTGAATAATTTTTCAGTATTGAAACTCCCTACCATTAACTCATTAAAAACAGAAACCACAACACTCTGGATTCTGACTCATGGCGACTGCATAGGACAAACTAGAACAGTTCCTGTGGGTATCTGGGAGTAGAAAGCCTCAGCTTTGTCCCAGGGAGCAGCTGATGGTCTCAAACTGCTGACCTGGAGGTTAGCATCCCCATATGTAACCCACTCCCCCACTCCTAGTGACTAGGTTTCTGAGACTGTAAATCTTTACAGGAGCAGACAGCTCATGTCTTTCTGGAGGAACTGCTCGTGGGGTTGAGCGCCAACCTTTCTGTCTGCAGCTCCATGCCTGCTCCCAGCACCACCAGGGATCCAACATCCAGTGCAATATTTGATATGCATTCGATCTACTACCTCTATTCCAAAGCCAGTTGAGCAGTTACACAACCCTTCTAATCTGCATGTCTTTTCTTTAAAAACAAAATTCTAATCCCTCAGTGACTGTGGCCCATGCACAGCAAAACATCTCCCCAGTTTCCAAACTGGGCATCTATTCGAGTCCTCTGGGGCCAGTGCAGGAAGCATTTCAAAGGGGTTGCTAGGTGGCAGGCCCCGACTCTGGAAAGCATTTCTTCAAATTCTATTAGCGCTGCTTGGTTAGAGTAGCCTGCTAGTGGGCCCAAACGTGCCTGGTTCATAGAGCTTTATTCTGTTAGTTTTGTTTGTTTTTTCCTATGGCAAAGCTGAGTTTAAATAACATTTCTAAAAAGCTTTGTCTTTTGAGCCAAGTGCCAGAATGTCTAGGTAAATACATAACCAAATAATCAGGAGCTTAATGTAGTTCAGCTTTTTTTCCCCCCTGCTGAATTTTTGAGATAGGTAAGTCTGGATTTCTTCCAAGCAAAACTGGGCAGGAGAAAACTTGAAAGTACCGACCAGTTTTAAGTATCCCCACCTGATTCCTGATACAATATTACCTGGAAAATACTGCACACCATCAAGTTTTCAAATGTCTTTATCTTGGGTCATTTTTCAAGCACCCAACTCTTCACAGAACAGGAACTGGAGAGCCTGTTGTGATAAATCCAAATTACTTAACAATTGTCATGGAGACAAGGGTTGTGATTCCACGGGCTGTTCTGAGGATTTTGGAGAAAGACCAGTATCCAGGAAATTAGTGGTAGTGATGATGGTACCCATTACCCAGTGCTCTCTAACAGGAACAGGATCCTGCATGTTCTTGTGTGATTGCACCAGCATGATTGAAGGGCACACCCCAAAGTCCACAGAAAACCGTTCCATCTATCCATCCATCCATCCATCCATCCATCCATCCATCCATCTATCCATCTTTGTTCAATGAAGGATTCTCTCTATTATAGCTCCTGTGCCAGGCACTAAGGGTTGGGTACAAAGTAAAGAATTATGGAAATTTGGGCCTGAAAGACATTTTCCTTTTTTACTCAGATTTTGCAAGAAAATAATTTAAATACTTATCAACATGGGATTTACTAATAAGGTAGGTATTATTGGGAGCAAGGTGGATCTTTCTATTCCCATAGGGTTACAGTCTCGGCAGTCACTGGGGCAGTTCTACCTGTCCTATAGAGAGTCCCCATAGGGTTGCTATGAGTCAGCATTGACTTGAGGGCAGTGAGGATTGTTTTTTTAAAAAACGTATTATTATATAGAAGTTGTTTCATGTTATTCTACCTGGGGGTGCAGTTTAGTTTGGGGATGATAATGGAAAGGTCCGAGGTTCCAAATCACTAGGCCATACGTGCAATTGGAGCTGATCCCCTGGGGCAAGATGAGACAATCTACTTCCATAAAGACGACAGCACTGAAAACACAGCAGAGCCGTTTGACTCTGTCCCGTAGGAAGCTATGACTACAACTGGTTGGCTTTTTGGTTTACTGTTAGATAACCATTAAAAATACATGGGTTGTATGGGATAGGCAAGATAAAGGTGCCAAACAGTATTGCAGGAGGCTAATGTGTACGTACATCTTGTGTGCAAATTCAGATACATGCTTGCTTGTGTAAATCTGAACCTGTACCAAATGTAACAAACAGTAGTCAAGGCCCCTAGAGGATCAACGAGGAAACCTGAGACAAAATGGAGTGTATTTTTTTTTACTTCTGTATGGTCTTATGCTTTAGAAAGCAGAAAAGAAAGAAAGAAAAGAAAATTATTGCTCAAAGAGGCATGGGGTCTTGCTCAAGCCACCCATGCCTTTCAGACTGGAATGCAATGATACTAAATTGCCATTCCATTTGCTTTTCTCCTCCCTACAACTGGAAGAACAGCGGGGAATAGCAACTCCTGGGGCCTGGCTGGTTCTGGACTGATTTGCACACTCATCTCATAACTTATCTGGCTTTTAATTACTCAAATGAAGTCAGAATTTCCCTTTCAAACAGGACTGCCACTTTTGTACTATGAATTTGCGGGCTGGAAGCAAGAAAGGAGTCCTGGGTTTCTTGATACAGTCTCTTTAAAATTTCCCCTAGATCTAACTGAAATGATTCCTCTGGGCCATTTTCCACAAGCCACAACCCTTTATCATTTTTAGTATTTTTCTTTCTTTGGTAATTAGCAATAGCAGAATTTTATTCTAGTTCTTTCTTGTGCCTTATGGGGGAAAGGTTTCTATGAAATTTATTTTTGTGCAATTATTCAATCAGATCTTCCTCTATGCAAGATCTCCCCTCTGGACTCCACCCCTAGGGTCCCACAATCCCGGAAAACGTTGCACCGGACACATACCAAAAACAGTATTTAAATCTAGACTAGTATTTCTCAAATTCTGGCAAAATTTGTTCTGGAGCGGAAGCACAGCTTTATTCTGCCACTGAAGCCACTGTGATCTTAGAAATTAAATGACTTGTCGTCATTCCCACAGCTCTGGAGTGGCAGATAAAAAAACTGAAGCCCAGTTTCCTGACTTTCAGCCAAGGGTCTCAGTCTTGAAATAAAACTATTGATTTCTCTCTACCCTTCTAGCTATTACCCTCTTTTTCCCCTTTTACTTTCAAAATTCCTACAATTACAATTAAATTCCTGGACTGCATTTTCTCACTGGCTGCTTTCTCTGCAAATCCTGTAAGTTGGCTGTGAAGCCCAAGACAGGTGTTGCTTAGTTTCAAGGACACTAACAAAGCAGTATATAACCATTTTCAGCATTGATAGTCGGTACTCATAGACTGTTAGCAGGACTATCAGATAGGAGGGAAAAGGCAACAAAATAACTAACCATTGTCATGTGAATTTCAACTCATCGTAGTCTTATAGGATAGAGTACAAGTGTCCCATTGGGTTTCTGAGACTTTAAAAATCTTTATGAAGGAGGTCGCCTTATCTTTTTTCTTCTAAGCGCCAGGTGGGTTCTAACTACTGACCTTGTGGTGACATAACCTACTACACAGCCAGGGCTCCTAACAGTACCATACTAAATATAAAATATTATGTCGTCTTCTTTTATCTTTCCTCATCACTGTGTATCGCTACCAACTAAAACCAAAATAACTGCCATTTAGTCAATACCGCTTCCCATAGCAGCCCTAGAGGGCAGTCGACCTGCCCTTGTGGGATTCTGCCTCTGTAACTCTTTACAGGAGTAGAGAGCCTCATCTCTCTCCCAGAGTGGCTGGTGCTTATAAACTGCTGCTCTTTCTATTAGCAGCATAAGCCACTAGGAACCGAGTCAATCCTAAATTGAATAACAGGAATGCTAACAGCACTTCCCTTTTGAAAATTCATCCATTCTAAGGCTTTTATAAGAAAGGTTCTCTGCCTTCCTGGATGACCCCTCTTGCTCTGTCTGTTTTTCTTGGGGGCATCTCTGGACATTGCTATCAGTTGATTAACCTGTCCATACTGAAATACTATAGGTGATAATGAAAGATCTCCTATACACATAAGAAAAGAATCAGATGGATTACTGGAGAAAAGTAGAAACATAAATAATTAATGGAATCAAAAACAATATAACAACATATTGTAAAGGTTATGAGCCAAAGAGAACCAGACTACATTTTTCATCTGCAAAACATGATAAAATTGTCAAAATTAAATTAAGCATGTAAAAGAGGGTTTGGTATATAGCAAGTGATTTTTTTTTTTTAAACAGAGGGTAATACTTCTTAGCGTTTCTGAGACTTAAAATCTTTATGGGAGGAGACAGCCTCATCTTTTCCCCTCAGTGTAGCTGGTGAATTTGAACTGCTGGCCTTGCATTTAGCAGCCCAGCTCAAAACCTGTTAGGCCAGTAGTGTTCCACTATGTTACAAAAAGCATTATTATAAATGCTGTAGAAATTTTTCTTTTAAGATTTCCCCCCCAATAAGCACGAATCAGTTCTCAAAACCTATTATTCAAGTATCTTTTCCAATTTTTTTTTTCTTTTCCAAATTTTTATTTCTCATTGTGACATCCCTCCATTCTATCAGAAACCAGGTGGATACCAAGTCTGCCCAGGGTGGTTGAGATTTTGAGAAAGAGTAAATTCAGCCCCTCCCCACTCCCTGTTAACAGCCAGTAGCAGTCAACTGCCAGGCTGGAAAGGGGGTTGTATCCTTAAAGGCGTATTCTATCACTGGGATGAGAGCACCCAGGAGAAACCTGCAAAAGAACTACACAACCAGGCAACAGAGAGTGAGAAATAATAAGTAATATAAGTTGTCACTTTAAGCCACTAAGTGTTGGGTGGTTTGTTTCACAGCAAAGTCAAACTGAAGTATCATCTTTAATCTCGCTGCCCAGATAATTGATGTGCTCATATTTTGGTAAATATTCTACATCTGGGCATTAAGTATATTCCTGTTGTTCTTATGTACTGTCTGGTAGCCCCTGGCACATGGCTCTTCCAAGAGCAATGGAACTAAATGCTGCCTGGACTTCTCGTAGCCTCTAATTAGTTGTGAATGGGATTGCTGTGATTCACAGGGTTTTCACTGACTGGTCTTCAGAAGGAGATTAATAGGACTTTCTGCTTAGTCTGGCTTAATCTGGAACCTCTCCTGAAACCTGCTGGGCATCATAGCAACAAGCAAACCTCCAGTGACTGACCGGATGTAGTATTGCCTGAGATGCATTAGCTAGGAATTGGAACTACATCTCTCGTCTACTGCAAGGAAGGCAAGGATTCTAGTACTGACCCACCAGTGCTTCTCTTTACATCTATATAGGACCCAATTAGGGCAGAGTAGAAGTGCCTCTATGGGTTTATGAGACTGTAAATCTTTACAGTAGCAGAAAGCCTCATCTTTTTCCAACAGAAAAATTAATACAATTATTCTTTGGAAAAGGCAAAAATACGGATCTCTTCTGGTCAGATGCCCAAGTAGCTCTCTTCCAAGTTTCCTGGCAAAGATTAGTGTTTCCAGTGATTCATCATCTTGTTGAAATATTTCAGTTGATATTCCATCAATTCCTGGAGCCTTATTTTTGGCTAATGCTTTTAATGCAGCTTGAACTTCTTCCTTCAATACCACTGGTTCTTGCTCACTGACCACCTCTTGAAATGGTAGACAGCTGATTCTTTTTGGTACACTGACTCTGTATTCTTTCCTTCATTTGCTGCCTCCTGCATCACTCAATATTTTGCCCATGGGATCTTCCAATATTGCAACTTGAGGATAGACGTTTTCTTGAGTTCTTACAGTTTAAGATAGGTTGGGGTATATTTCCCTTTTGGTTTTCTAACTCTAGGTCTTGCTCGAAATGTTCTACAAATTCAGGTGGGATAGACTCAAGTTCGTATTTTGGCTCCCATGGACTCATTTTAATTTTCTTCAGAGTGAAACTGAACTAAACTATCAGCAATTGCTGGTCTGTTCCCTCAGTCAGTTCCTGGCCTGCCTTTAGGTGCTGACACTCAGCTTCTCTATCGTCTCCTTCCACAGATGAAGTCAGTTTCTGTGTAGTCCATCTGAACAATCCACTTCTACAGTCAGAATTTGTGTTGTTGAAAAAAGATATAGACTATCAACAAGTCATTGGTCCTGAAAAATTCGATAACGCAATTTTGGGCTTTGTTTCTATCACCAATACCATATTTTCCATCTGCGGATCCCTCATCTCTGTTTCTAATTTTGCATCCCAATTACCAGTAATTGTCAATGCAACTTAATTTCATGTTTGACCAATTTCTGACTGAAGACCTTGGTAGAATTCTTCTATTTTATTACTAGTTTTAGTAGTTAGTGCATAAATTTGAATAATAATTGCATGTATTGAATTTCTTTGAATTCAGAAAAATGTAATCCTATCACAGGTAGTCTTCAAATGTCTTTTTTGACAATTAATGCAATGTGATTCCTCTTCACGATGACATACCCAGCATAGTAAACGATATGATTTTCTGATTCAAAATGGCCAAGTCCAGTCTACTTTAGTCCACTAACACCTAGGATATCATTCTTTATGCATTCTATTTCATTTTTGTCAACTTCCCATTTCATAGATTCATACTTCATACTTTCCAAGGTCATTTATCAGTAGATCTTCCCAAGTG